GCTTGCCTTGCATGCCTGAGGCCCTGGGTTCGATTCCTCAGCACCACATAAGCAAAAAGAAAAAAAGCCTGAAGTGGCGCTGTGGCTCAAGTGGTAGAGTGCTAGCCTTGAGCTGAAGAGCTGAGGGACAGCGCCCAGACCCAGAGTTCAGGTCCCACGACCGGACCCAAAAACAAGGAGAAATAGGAAGTGGCGCTGTGGCTCAAGTGGTAGAGCGCTAGCCTTGAGCTGAAGAGCTGAGGGACAGCGCTCAGGCCCAGAGTTCAGGCCCCATGACCGACAAAAAAAAAGTATAATAATAATAATAATAATAATAATAAAGAAACAAGGAGAAATATACCATTCATAGCAAATAGCAAAAAGTCAAGTATATGAGAGAGGGAAGGGAAAATATTTACCTCTTTTTGTTGTTGTTATTCTTATCCTGGGGCTTGAACTCAGAGCCTGGCACTATCCCTGAGCTATTTTGCTCAAGGTTAGTGTTCTAGGACTTGAGGCAACTTTTAGCTTTTTTGGTGGCTAATTAGAGACAAGAGTCTCACTGATTTTCTTGCCTGGCTGGCTTTGGATGATAATCCTCAGATCTTGGCCTCCTGAAAGCCACTGGCACCAACCTCCTCTATCTTTTTATTGTTGGTGGTATTGAGATGAGGTCTCTATATAATAAAGGCTGGTCTTGAACTCCTGGGCTCAAATGTCTTCTTTGCTCAGTCTCCAGAGTACTGGGGCTCTAGGTATATACCATTGTACCTAACTCCCCTTATCTTATTTTTGTATTACCATGAATTTTTTATATCTCATTAATTTACTTACATACAAAAGAGGAAAGATCTTTTTCATTTTACTGTTGCATGACTTAACAATGGAGAAATGGAATCAGTTTAATTCTTCTCCTAAGTAGATAAGTTTATGTCACTTGTGGGGCTTGAGCTCTGAGCCTGGGTGCTGTCCCTGAGCTCTTCAGCTCAAGGCTAGCGCTCTACCACTTGAGCCACAATGCCACTTCTGGTGGACTTTCATTGTCCTGGCTTTGAACCATGATCCTCAGATCTCAGCCTCCTGAGTAGCTAGGATTACACGTGTGAGCCACCAGCACCCAGCTAATAATTTTCTTAATAACAAACATAGCTATCTAACAGCTGATAGGTTTTGGTCAATTCTTTTTTTTTTTTTGGTCGGTCGTGAGGCTTGAACTCCAGGCCTGGCGCTGTCCCTCAGTTCTTCAGCTCAAGGCGAGCGCTCTACCACTTGAGCTACAGCGCCACTTCCTATTTCTCCTTGTTTTTGGGTCCGGTCGTGGGACCTGAACTCTGGGCCTGGGCGCTGTCCCTCAGCTCTTCAGCTCAAGGCTAGCGCTCTACCACTTGAGCCACAGCGCCACTTCTGGCTTTTTTTTTCTTTTGCTTATGTGGTGCTGAGGAATCGAACCCAGGGACTCAGGCTTGCAAGGCAAGCGCTCTACCACTGAGCCACCTTCCCAGCCCTATAGGGCAAATTTTAAAAGTAATCATATACTGATTATAGCTATAATGATCTATTTTAAAAAGTTAAGAGGCTGGGCATCGGTGGCTCACACCTGTAATCCTGGCTACTCAGGAGGTTGAGATCTGAGGATCATGGTTCAAAGCCAGGTGGGGCAGGAAAACTCCATGAGACTCTTATCTCCAATAAACCACTCAGAAAACTGGAAGTGGTGCTGTGGCTCAGGTGGTAGAGTGCTTGCCTCTAGAGCTGAGGGACAGTGCCCAGGCCCAGAGTTTAAGCCCCATGACTGACCAAAAAAAAAAAAAAAGTTTTGAGGGGACTTGAAAAATTGAATGGAGTAATCTAAGCCAAAGGAAGAACTAGAATAAAACACAGAAAGCAAAATGGGTTTTGGTAGGTAAAAAATAGGACATTTAATTTTATGTATCTAGAAGGGAGTAAATGAAATGTGGAATGTGGCAAGCAGATTTTTCTCCCTTTGAAAAGCGGAAACTTAGGGCTGTAGATGCAGCTCAAGGTAGTAGAATGCCTGCTTCACAGATCTGAAGTTCTGAGTTTGGTTTCTAGTACTACCAAGAAAAAAATAATCTCAGCAAAAAAAAAATTTTTAGGTGAAATTAAATATAGATGATTAGAAAAAAAGTAGCTATGATGTAATGGAGTCACTGTTGCTGGAAGTAAGGAAGGCTGAGAGAACTCAGTGCAAGGAAGACTTTTTGGGTTTGGGGATAGTACTGCAGAGAAATGTTGGGTGGGAACTTAGTAAATCTAAAGGTGTATGACCCAAACTTCATCTTTTTCTCTCATTAGGAGATGTTGTCCATGCTGGGGGACCAGAGCAACAGCTACAACAATCAAGAATTTCCTGACCTAACTATGTTTCCCTCCTTTTCAGAATAGAACTATTGGGGTGAGGATAAGGGGTAGGGGAGAAAAATCACAGTTTTTAAAAGCAACTCTTTTGTAAACAAAATAAAAGTTCCTCTCCCTTCCCTTCCCTCACCCCCTAATATGTACCCCTATCCCTTCTGGACTTTCCTTGCCTTCTCTTCCCTCTCTGAGGTAACATTTATAGAAGGAATTAAATCAAACCCTAAGGCTTCTAGAGCCTTTGAAAATTTGAGGCTAGGTAAAGATAGAATGCCTTTCTTTATGTCTCCTGACCAGAAACTGCACAAAGATGGTTTGTGCAAGGGTCAAGGGGCAGGTTAGAAGAATCTGACATCCACTATTTGCCTTGGATACTGTGGTTTATTTTGCTAAGAAATTCTGAATAGGGTGGAATAGAGGAGGAGTATCCTCATAATTGAGACCCATGGTATGTATACATGGGGCTTTAGGAAGTGAGTATAGGCTCTTTCTGCTACCTGTGAGCAATTCCCCTGGAAAGAAACATGTAAGAAAGAGAACAAGAATGTGTGTGTGTGTGTGTGTGTGTGTGCGTGTGTGTGTGTATATGTGTGTGCGCGCGCGTGCAAATGTGAGTACATGCACGGTCCTGTATTTCTTTCTCCCTATTAGGGAGTTTATGCAAAATTTGTCCCAGATTTTATCTTTGTATGTTTGTATGCTCTTCAAAGAGTCCTAAGAAATTAAATCTTCCAAGTATTTTCCATTTAGTGTTGCAGCCAAAGTATTTATTAAGTCTTTGCTGCACTTACATATATACCCAGCCAACATGCAACTAGAGGCAAATATATAATGTCTTCTATTGATAAGGTTGATCTCTAACCTAACATATTCAGTGATCAAGCTGGATTACTCCTGCTTTTGGTGCTCTCGCCTTACTTGGAAGATCTGTAACATTACTGAAATAGGCTGGTCAGATAAACACTTTACAAAGTCCCAGACTTGGCCATAAGGATAATGCTGCATTTTCTGTCAGAATCACACAGTGTGTGTTCTGTAAAGGTTATTTCTGCATGGAAACTCAACTTCTTGGATTAGCAGTCCCAGTGAAAATCCTCACTGTTGGAGTATAAACCAAATATACAGTCCTTTTGCAAAGTAGCCTTTTTTATTCCATCCTCAAAATACCCTATCTAGCAAGAAACACGGGGCCTGTAATTCTTTCCTCTGCTCCCTTTCCAATTTTAAGATTGGGTTTTGTTTGGAGCAGTAAAATTCCATGTGTTAAGTAGAACCTGGACTCCCATTCCAACAGGGTCACTTGGTAATTGTAGCCATATAAATGTGGATCCAGGTTACTACTCTCACTCTTTACCTTCCTCAGGTAAGTCATGTTTATCAGCCTTTGAAGAAATGTTCCTGCCAGTATCTTAAATGCAAGACTGAATTAATAAGGAAAAAAATATATTAAGTATATTCATAGGGGACTGAGGAGCACAGGCTGAGGGAATATCATTTACTGGGTTGCCCCCACCCCTCTTTTGTCTCCAGTCTGGTGCCAGGTAGTGGAGTGGAAAAGGAAATGATTTATTTTTCTATTCTATGTGCACACATACAGTATACATATATATTTATATCACAATTTATGAAACCAAAAAGTTGAGTTTCCAATGGAACCCTTGTTTTTTTTTTTAATAATCAACTTGTTTTTAAATGTGATTGGGACTATAATATTGTACAGTTATTATAGGGTTTGGGGGGAAGGGGAGGGCAGAGAGAAGATACTCTGGGGGGTTGCTTCTGTTTTCCTTCAGGGTTTTATTTTTTGATTTTTTTTTCTTGGTGGCCCTTTCTGTATTGCTGGCATCTGTGCTAAGCCATACAGTGGCAAAAATAATGACATGTAGCGAAGATTTTAAAACAATGCATTTTTTCTTTTTGTAAAATTTCTTGTGTCGTGTGATCTTGATTGCGGCTTTATTCCTTTCCAGCTTATAAAATATAGATAACCACCACTAAAAGAATACATAGCTCAGGCTTGAAATGTAACTCAGTGGGAGAGCAGTTGCCTAGTATGCGCAAGTGTCTGAAATCGATCCCCAGCACCACAAGAAACAACAGAGAAGAATCCATAGCTTGAGCTTCAAAACATACAATTATAAAGCATTTCAGGAATCAGAAGTCACAGTGCCCCGGTGATTCAACACCCTTCCTCCTCACTTGCCCTCCTGATCCTGACACATTCTGAGAAGACAGCAGAGACATCGGGCTACACTTAAAGGAGGTGGGGGTTGCCAAAGCCCATAGGGGAAAGGGAGAGAGTTTGGACTTGAAACCAGTAGAGCAGCACACCTGGATATATGTTCTCCTCTGGATGAAAGAGTTAGGAATTAGGACATTTAAGCTTCCAAATCTGGACCTGTATTTCTTCTCTAGGCCCATGGAGTTCATAAGTAACATTTAAAATCAAAAGGCAAAGCCTTTGTTATTCAGTGTCTGTATAGAATCCAGCTAGAAACTGGACCTCATGTTTATCCTTTCTACTCCAGGTCCCTCTCTTTTTTCCTCACATCTGTTTATGGAAGAAAATAGAGCTTGGGGCCAGGGATGATTTCATGACTGCACTAGAATCTTATGATCTATCACATGTCTACATTTTGGGGAAGCATTTGAAGAAGCTCATGTGATGACCTAGATTGGGAATTTAATAATTGAGACATACTCATCAGACATGCCACCATCTGAGAATTTTGTCAATAAAGTTACATGTGAGTCCCTCAGATGATTTCAAATGATGTAAATAACCAGGGGTGGCATTTGAAGTTAATTTTAGAACCAATTTAATCTGGACAGACCCTTCTACAAAACCATGTTGGAGGCTGGGTACTAGTGCTCATGTATGTAATCCTGAGAGGCAAGGGGTTTGAGACTGACCTGGGCAATAAGCAATAACCAATAAGCAAGCATGGCAGCACTCAACTGGGTGGTCTAAATAGGACCATGGTCCAGGCTACTGGGCAAAAATGGTGCAACTATTCTAAATACAAGTAAGCTAAGGACGTCTTCCTAGCAAGCACAGAACCCTGAGTTTAAGCCTCACTACCACAGGTAAGTGGGAATAGGAAAGCTTTTCCTCTGCTTGAAAGGAATAGCAACCGTTAGCCAACAAAGCCAGGCAGAGATGCCTAAGCCTGTAATCCTAGCCACTCAGGAGGTGGTGACTGGAAGATGGTGGTTCAAGTCCAGCCTGGGAGGGGGGGGAGGTTTCAGTGACTCCATGTCAATATAAAGCTGGGCACAGTGACTTGTGTCTATCAGACTAGCTACACAGAAAGCATAAATAAATAGAGAAATAGGATGATCAAGGTTCTGTGTGTCCTTAGTATAAGCCTGAGACCTATTTTTTAAAAAATAGCAAATAAAAATAAAAAATAGCAAAAGCAAAAAAGTATGCAGGAACCTCGTATAAACACAAGGCCCTGAATTCAAACCCCAGAGTCATGCCAAAAGGGGGACTAGCTCATGTCTTCCTTTAGGTTACTCATTTCTGGACTGTTCATTCCATCAACCCAGAGTTGAGGGTCAGACATAAGTTTGGAAACTGAGGTTTCAATGTTGGGGAGGTGAGTCTGATAGAAAAAAAGGTGGGAAAAAATGCAGTCCCCTGACATTATAAGATATTAGGGGCTGGGAAGGTGGCTCAGTGGTAGAGCGCTTGCCTTGCATGTCTGAGGCCCTGGGTTCAATTCCTCAGTACCACATACGCAGAAAGAAAAAAAGCCGGAAGTGGCGCTGTGGCTCAGGTGGTAGAGCGCTAACCTTGAGCTGAAGAGCTGAGGGACAGCCCCCAGGCCAGAGTTCAGGCCCCACGACCGGACCCAAAAAAAAAAAGATTTTAAAGGATGGGGTGACTTAAGGCTGTATCCTTCCACTTCCCCACCATAGAAAGTAATTCCCAACTGTGTGTACTGAGGTTTTTGTCTGCTTCCAAAGAGTCATGTGAAACTAAATACCTAGCAGTTCTCCAGCTTGGCACACAACTGCACACACACAGAAACATTGTGTAAATCCGCTGCAATCTCCCCCTCTAACCCCCCTTTTCTCAACATTTCTATCCCCGCCTTCCTTATCCAAATTTTCCAGCCAACTGCTGGAGCTGACTTCCGCAATCCTGATGGAATAAATCCAGCATCCCTAGTCTTCCAACCACATTAGACATACTTTCTGACCCAAGAGGAGCTCAGACAGCAAGATTCCCGGCAGCAGGTAATGTTTTTAACTTCTACATCTTTGTAGCTTCAAATTTATGTTCATTCTTTTAAGAGGATTAGGGGTATAGTGAATTGGAGATCAAAATAAACAATAAGCTCTATGGAAAAAAACAGATACCCTTCTTAGTTCATTTCCTGGCCAAATAAAAAATGCCTGGAAATTTTTAGGATTCCTTGTATGATTGTTAGTATGCATTTGTGGTTTTGTATTATTAAAAGAATCTTTACCCAACTGTCAGTTGGAGGACTTTAGAGAACAAAAACCCTCATAACAGAAAAATAAAGCTTTATAAAAGAATCAACCCATTCCTCAAAAGTGACCTCTATTAAGTTTGCTTTGGCCACAAGGGTTAACCATGAAGAATATGAGGAAAGAGTATGAGGAAGAGAAAGGAGAAGGAAGAGGAGGAGGAATAGTAGAAGGAGAACTACCACTGGCAGCTCAGTATTTGTGCTCTGAAACATATCCAAACCCTGAATACTCGAGCAGTTAATGCTGGACATTTTTTTTCTGGTTTGCAAAGACTACATAAAGATGTAGTCTAGATTTAATATTGACTTCATATGGCTTGCTTTTAAACTAGGATTTATGCTTAAGCCAATGTAAGAAATTAGTGACACAGGAACAAACTTCTGAGAAGCTCAATGTTTATAGAATATTGCCTTTTCATCCTACATTTTTCTAACTTTGTTTCTGAGGCTTTGCCCTATCAGGAAGACACAAAAGTTACTTATTGTTGAAAAAGAAAAACTGCTTTCCCACAGCATCTGGTTAAGATTAGGGCAGTTTCCTGCCTAAGGAGGGAGGAGGGATGAGAAAGGAAGAAGAAATGCTTAGGGAGACTGAGAACAGTAAATATCTCAGAGTTAAAGAGGACACTGTCAAATTTAGCCTTGTCCTCTCTCAGCAAGATCTGAAAACATAACAGGATTTAGGCAAGGAAGAAAAAAAAATGCCTTGAAGAAATCATTAGGAAGCAATGTAGCTAGAAATCTTTGGGTTTTCTCCAGCCCCCCATTTCCAGCTTGTGCTTATTTTGTTCATTTCCACCTCGGATGGGACACTGAAGATAGGTGCTGAGCCCATCCTACTCAGCCCTTTCCATTCTCATTTCTGCTTGTCTGCAAGTATATGTGTGTGATGATTGAACAACCTTATGCCAAATTACTTGAAACCAAATGTACGGGCACGTCATTCAAACCCAGCCTCTGTCATTGTTTTGTCATATGCAAACTACCCTTAATTCTTATCTTTATACAGCCAAGTTTCCTTTTGCCTTACAGCGAAGAAGGGATTCTTAACTTTGTGTTCATGAATTCCCTAGGATAGGGGCTGGGAAGATGGCTCAGTGGTAGAGTGCTTGCCTTGCGTGCCTGAGGCCCTGGGTTCGATTCCTCAGCACCATATAAGCAAAAAAGAAAAAAGCCGGAGGTGGCTCAAGTGGTAGAGCACTAGCCTTGAGCTGAAGAGCTGAGGGACAGCATTCAGGCCCAAAGTTCAGGCCCCATTACCGGACCCAAAAATAAATAAAAAATAAAATAAATAAAAATGAATTCCCTAGGATTATTGCATACACGTGCATTTCTCTGGTAAGAGAGACTAGACGTTTATTAGTCACCAAAGGAGTCTCACGAAAGATTAAGAACCAGCAGTCTGACAAGATAGCTGCAGCTATTTCCTCATTCCAAGCCAAGCTGTGAACTCACTGCCAAATGGAAGTGTTCCATAATTATTCCTTTCTTCAGGATGTGGGGGCTCAAGGTTCTGCTGCTACCCATGGTGAGCTTTGCTCTGTACCCTGAAGAAATACTGGATACCCAGTGGGAATTATGGAAGAAGACCTATATGAAGCAATACAATGGCAAGGTGCCTGGGGACCTGGAAGGGAGCATGGCAGGAAGGTTGGGACTTCATAGATCTCCAGTCTTAGCATTTAGGCTTTGTTTTTCATGATACAGTAAAATCTACTACAAACCAAGCAAACCTGTCTGTTCCCTAACTCTTCACCTATGCTTTTCATTTCTATGCCTCAATCTCCATCCTTCTGTGCTATCTGGGAAGATCTGTAAAGCTCTACAGAATGGTAGCGTGCTTGCCTAGCATGTGCAAGGCACTGGGCCCACTCCCAGCATCACCAGAAAGAGGGAAGGGGAGGAGAGAAGAGAAGGGGAGAGAAAAAAAGGGAGAGGAACCAGGGAGGGAGAATATGCCAGGAGGGGAGAGAATGCACCCGGGAGAGGGTGGGGGAAGAAAAGGAAAAGAGAAAAGAAGAAAGGTGCAGCTTTTCCTTTGGAAAGACTTCTCAGATTAATACTATTAATCTAAAATTATTCTATAGCTCTCTCCAGTGGTTTGCATTTTTACATAACTTCTTTTTGTGTTGGTTAGTTGTGCAGCTAGACCATATAATTTTTATGTTACATCTTTTCTCCTAAAAAACACATATTACCTATGTAACTTCTCAGTCAATGCATATACTGAATATGTTCTGTTTAGGTGGATGAACTCTCTCGTCGTTTAATTTGGGAAAAGAACCTGAAGTATATTTCTGTCCACAATCTTGAGGCCTCTCTTGGTGTACATACGTATGAATTGGCTATGAATCACTTGGGGGACATGGTGAGTTGAACCTCAGTTTTTAGCTTACCTGTTTGTCTTAGTTTTCTGCTAATGCCTAGCCTCCTTTTTCTTTGTTTTAGACCAGTGAAGAAGTAGTTCAGAAGATGACTGGACTCAAAGTCCCTGCCTCTCGTTTCCATAGTAATGACACCCTTTACATACCAGAATGGGAGGGCAGAACCCCAGATTCCATCGACTATCGAAAGAAGGGATATGTTACTCCGGTCAAAAATCAGGTACTCTCGTTTCTTTGGGGGAATGAGTTGGTAATCTGGCATGACCAATTCCTTCTTCTGCTGTTTTATTCTTGAGATAAGAGATCACTAGGAAGAAAAGGAAATTAGTTATGACACAATACCCATGCTAAGAGAATATGGCTTTTCCTTCCTTCCTTTATTCCTTCCTCTTTTCTTTTTCTTTTTTTTTTTTTTGAAACGCCCCCTCTCAGCTTCTGCCCTTCCTCTTTTCTTTTTCTTTTTTTTTTTTTTGGTTCGGTTGTAGGGCCTGAACTCTGGGTCTGAGCGTGTCCCTCAGCTCTTCAGCTCAAGGCTAGTGCCCTACCACTTGAGCCACAGCACCACTTCCGGCTTTTTCCTTTTTGCTTCTGTGGTGCTGAGGAATCGAACCCAGGGCCTCATGCATGCAAGGCAAGCGCTCTACCACTGAGCCAATTTCCCAGCCCCACATATGAAGATACTTATTGCAACACTATTTGTAATAAAGAAAACCCAGCACCACATAAGCAAAAAGAAAAAAGCTGGAAGTGGTGCTGTGGCTCAAGTGGTAGAGTGCTAGCCTTGAGCTGAAGAGCTGAGGGACAGAGTTCAGGCCCCACAACTAGACCCAAAAAAACAAACAAACAAAGTATCTTCATATGTATTTTTGTGCATTTGTATAAATTCCTTATGTAAAATAAACTCTAAAACAAATTGCTAGGTCTAAGAATATCCTTTCCTAAGATCTTACATTCTTTTTTTTTTGGGTCCGGTCGTGGGGCCTGAACTCTGGGCCTGGGCACTGTCACTCAGCTCTTCAGCTCAAGGCTAGTGCCCTACCACTTGAGCCACAGCGCCACTTCCGGCTTTTTTCTTTTTGCTTATGTGATGCTGAGGAATCGAACCCAGGGCCTCATGCATGCAAGGCAAGCGCTCTACCACTGAGCCACCTTCCCAGCCCCCAGGATCTTACATTCTTACTAACATGAGAATACTAGTTTTCCCATAAACTTAACAGCACAGATTTGTGACGGTGAGGTGACAATTAACTTAACATCCCTCAATACTTTTCTCTCCCTTGCCTAGAACTGTCCAGGTATATAGTGTCAGACAGTAGAGATTCAAAATAGCTGAAGCAACTCTTCAAGAAATATTCAGTCTTGAGCTGGGCGCTGGTGGCTCATGCTTGTAATCCTAGCTACTCAGGAGGTTGAGATCTGAGGATCACAGTTCAAAGCCAGCCCAGGCAGGAAAGTCCATGAGACTCTTATCTCCAATTAACCACCAGAAAAACAAAACAAAAACAAAAAACTGGTAGAGCACTAGCCTTGAGCTGAAGAGCTCAGGGACAGCACCCAGGCCCTGAGTTCAAGCCCCACAACCATAAAAAAAAAAAAAGCATTTTTTTTTTTAGTCTTAAACTGGGAATATGGCGTAAGTGATAGCACATGAACCTAGAAAGCACAGGCCCTGAGTTTAATCCCCAGTACTGAAATTTTAAAAAAAAAATCCACCTAATTCTCAATCTTACCAATAAACCAGAAGTCAGGTACTGGTGGCTCATACCAGTAATCCTAGTTACTTAAGAGTCTGAAATCTGAGAATTGCAGTTCAAAGCCAGCCTGGGAAGGAAAATCCATGAGACTTTTTTTTTTCTTTTTTTTTGCTGTCATGGGGCCTGAACTCTGGGCCTGGGCGCTGTCCCTCAGCTCTTCAGCTCAAGGCGAGCGCTCTCTCACTTGAGCTACAGCGCCACTTCCAAGACTTTTCTTTTTTTTTTGCTAAAAACTAATTTATTAATGTTACTGCTGTTAAAATAAAACATGGTTACATAGAACTATCCACTTTCTCATAACTCAGTAGCATGTGTTATCTCTAAAGCAAATGATCATACAAAAAATTTGAGAAATACACCAACATCATGAGTTTAAGTTCACAGGACCCCCATGAGACTCACATCTCCAATTAACCACAAGTGGAGCTGTGGCTGAAGTGCTTAAGAGCATTAGCCTTGAGCAAACATGCCCAGGGACAGTGCCCCACGCCCTGAGTTCAAACTCCAGGACTGGCACATACACACAAAGACTAGCAAAGAAAGAAAAATCTAGAACAAACATTAATAATAACTATCACTTTTTGAGAGACTGGTATGTGTAAAATTTCACATGCAAAATATATTATTCTTTATTAAAATCTCATTAATATAGAATTACCCACATTTTACAGGTAAGGATTGAAACAGAGGTTTAGTAACTTACTTAAGCTCATATAGCTAGTGGGTGAAAGGCCAGGAGAACCATCTCAGAAGCTGCACTATGCTCTACTCTGTTTTACCACGTCTAATGGTAACGGTTATCAGTAGCAACAACAGCAATATAATAACACAACAAATATTAGAATAGGAAGACTGTGACAAAGGCAACATTTGTTCAGGAATTTACAAAATGCGTAAACTTCATCAGGCTGATATAACATGTGTGAACAAAAATCACTGATTGTTTCTGTGGATGCTTTTCAGGGTCAGTGTGGTTCCTGTTGGGCTTTTAGTTCTGTGGGTGCCCTGGAGGGACAACTCAAGAAGAAAACTGGCAAACTCTTAAATCTGAGTCCACAGAACCTGGTGGATTGTGTTTCTGATAATGATGGCTGCGGAGGGGGCTATATGACCAATGCCTTCCAGTATGTGCAGCAGAATCGGGGTATTGATTCTGAAGATGCGTATCCATACGTGGGACAGGTGAGATTACTCCGAAGAGTTTTACTGCCTTGTACTGGCTCCTCTCTCATTACGGTATTTTTTACTGGCATTAATGTCAGCAATCTTGTGGTCAGGCGCTGGTGGCTCCCACCTGTAATCTTAGCTACTCTGGAGGCTGAGTGCTGGGATTATAGGTGTGTACTGCAGTGACCAGTTTAGCCTTTTTTTTTCTTCTTCTTCTTTTTTTGGGTCCCGTCCTGGGGCCTGAACTCTGGGCCTGGGCGCTGTCCCTCAGCTCTTCAGCTCAAGACTAGTGCTCTACTACTTGAGCCACAGCACCACTTCTGGCTTTTTTTTTTCTTTTTGCTTATGTGGTGCTGAGGAATCAAACCCAGGGCCTCAGGGATGCAAGGCAAACGCTCTACCACTGAGCCACCTTCCCAGCCCCCAGTTTAGCCTTTTTAAAGTTTAATCTTTTTTCTTCCTTTCCTTTCCTTTCCCTTCCCTCCCTCTCTCTCTCTTCCCTCCCTCTCTCCCTCTCTCTCTCTCACTCTTTGTTTTTGTCATTCGTAGGGCCTGAACTCTGGGCCTGGGCGCTGTCCCTCAGCT